AAAGGTGGTCTGTTGGATTCAAGTCAGACGACATGCTTGGGAAGGTCATTGGATCATTATCCTCTTCTGCCACGACTGGGAATGATCTTGTCAGACACTATTTTGGTACATCCACATGCATTTATATAACACTTTTTACACTCATGCAGCTCAATATCATCACGCTCCCACCTCCGTGCTTCACTGTTGGGACTATGTATTCACTGTCACAGCTCTGGTCAGGTCTACATCAAACATGTTGGACCCATCTACTCTCAATAGAAGGTGACATTATGTAATGTGTTTTGCACGTGTGCGTTATCGCTGGAACTCTGACTTCCGCTGATAACCGCTGTGCCAAGCCTGAAGCACCTGCTCTGACATCTGATTTTCAGAGCTAGATGGCGAAAGTAGTTACTGTCCATGGTGTCATTTTAGGAGAACGACCACTGCAGCTGTGACTGGTGGTTCTACGGGTGGTTCTATACCATCTGATTACTCCTGCAACTGTGTTCCAAATGACATTTAGGTCACTGAGCTTCCCGTATCTTTTTTCAATGTTTTTGTGGTTACATAGTCAGGTTTTTCAGTTCCTCTGGCTAATTTTTTCCGTGTGAAACCATGATGCAAACATCCAGACACAGTCCATGGGTCCAAAACTTACAAAGTTCTACCATTTACAGCTTTTTTTGTTTAACAAATTTTGTGATTGTGTTTGTACAGTTCAACTGATTGGAAATCACAGCTGTATGTCACAATTTAGTTTCAATGATCACATGTTTTCAAACTTTTGTGTCAGCGATTCACTTTCACTGCACTGATTTATGATCTTGAGGCCTCTATTTTCTATGTAGTCTTTTGTTTATGTTTTATTTTATCTCTTTTTAAATCGTAAATAGAAAATACTCCTCTTGTCAGCCTAAAAACAGTGCAGTGGTTTAGAGGTGATTCAGTGTTTAACCATTTGACATTTAAGTGGTGTTGCACAGGACTGCACTCACTTCTGTTGTTCAGTGTAGTCATGCTGGTGCATGCAGACTTCCCAGGCCTCTTATTCAGACATCAGCAGGATTTGACTGTTACAGGGTGGAGCTTATCTCAGTCTTGTGACTTTATTTTGAAACCTTTGCCCCCTGGACAGTAAAAGTACAAATAAAAGGTAGTACTCCTAAGCTAAGCCTCACGTTGTCTGTCGGATTTTCGGTGACTCACATTCAAGCTTTAAACATTTTGGATTATGAGGGAAGAAAATGACCACACTAAGAGTCAGGTAAGTCTGTTTCAAGTCTGAGAGAGTTTTATAAATGTGTGTGTACTGAGACTTTTAAGAAACTGCATGTTCAATCCAGAAGTTCCACAGCCTGAACAAAACAACACATTTTTTTGTACTGATTAAGGAAGGATACTTACTGGGAATTTCCTATTTTCATTCTTCTCGTCTTGGTCATGGCACTTCCTCTATCTGCCAATAAAAACCTTCCCACTTTTCATAACAGAGTGCATTCAGTTCAGTGTTTCAGGGTCTCTTCTGCCTCCTCCATGCAGCAGATCACTAGTGTCTGGGTGCGGGACCCGCGGATACAAAAGAATGATTTCTGGCACGCCTACATAGACTATGAAATTTGTTTACATGTAAGTAAAATATAATGACAGTTGTTTAAATTTCTACAGTCATTTAAGGAAGCTCCCTGTGAAATGTGTGTCACACTGGTGTGTCCTGTTTTAGACCGACAGTGTGTGCTTCACCAAGAAGACCTCGAGTGTAAGACGGCGGTACAGCGAGTTCGTATGGCTCAGACAGAAACTGCAAGCAAATTCACTGCTGAGGTAAATCTATTCACTGTGGTTTGTAGTGACATGTTTTGTCAAAAAAACAGAACTTGCTCACTGGATCCTATCATTTTTTTTACCTGCTCTTGTTTTCTTCGCAGGGTACGGCTTCCAGAGCTGCCCCCTAAAAACCCTTTTTTCAGTCTGAACAACGCCAGGCAGATCGGTGATCGCATGAAAGGGCTCCAGAAGTTTTTGGAACAGTAAGAAAATTGATTTATCAATTTCTGAACTTTGACATACTACAGCACAAGTATAGCAAAACTGTGGTATGCAGTTTCCACAAACACCACACCACATGACTGCTGGTTTCACATTCACAGACAATACAATATGCTGAGTACAACAACCCTGTCTTCATTGTCCTACTTTTTCAGGATCCTTCAGAGCCCTCTGCTGCTGTCCGACAGTTGCCTGCACCTTTTCCTACAGTCACAGCTCAGCGTGGCCAAAATGGAGGCCTGCGCTGCCGGACGGACCCACTACTCCGTGGCCCAGGCCGTCGAGCGCTGTGGCCTGAGGAGGTTCCACTCAGTGGAGGACCTGCAGAAGGACCTCAGCATGTCGTGTGACTCTGACTCAGATAGGTACAACAAGGCAAAATATCACTTTTAGTCACTGATGTATTTCCCAGGACAGATTATAGGAGATATCCTTCTATCTAACTCCTCTCTTCTTGTCTGTGTTGTTCCAGCTCAGAGTGCAGAGACCCAGAACACAAGATTAAAGATTTAGGAATAAACAAATCAAAGAGTTCAGCTTTACTCGATCTCATGGGAACCAGTCAGGAGGAAACACTAAGCTGTTCGTCTGGTTCTACATGAAAACATCATCTTCGTGCTGTTGGCAGAATGTCGGAGTCTACTCACACTGGCATCTCATAAAAACTTTTTGTTTCTGAGAATAAGAAAGCTACCTGTTACCCTGTCGTACTGCATTTTTTGGTTGCACGGTTGCTCCAAATGATTTCATTTCTAAACACATGTTCTCAGTAAGACAATCTGTTTTGAAAAAAAGGAGTGTAAATTGTAGTTTTAATGTATTATTTGCATATTTTGCACTTTATCCTTCAAGTCTTGTCAGTGTGCTGTCTGCTTAAGTTGTGTCTACAATTTGCCTAAAGATGGCAGTGTTGTTGCATGTATCTGTTTGTGTGTTCACATGCTGTATCTGTCTACATGTGCTTCATAAACAAACTTCACAGAAGCATCTTGACTTTTGCTCATTCGTGCTGTGAAACCGGCCACATGTGTGCGGATAACAATGTAATATGTTCAGCAGTGACAGAATAATGCCTCTCCCACTCCTAATAAAGTGGGGGAGCTTGTCATCTGGTGGCCACTGCAGTGCTTAGCGGTGTGACATGTATAATAGGGTCTCTGCAGGGTTTTTCAGACAGCCCCCCTGTCAGGTGTGAGGCTGGTAGGAGAGTCCTGTAGGATCCCAATGGACTCGCTCCTGTCTGAGAGGGCCACCAGGTAGACAGGCTACATTGCTCCCTGCTGAACAAAACGCCAGCTGCACTGACAAGCCACCCTTTCTATCTGCCTCCCTTGCTTTGTGTTCGCTCGCTCGTGTCTTTGCATGTGTGTGTGTGCGTGTATGTTCTCCCACAGTGAGCACCATCACGCTTATGCAGAGGTAATGACCACTAAACAGAGCGAAGGCAAACTGACATTTCTGCAGCGCTAATTAGATTAGCTGTTCCTCTCTGCAGCGGCCGTGTGATTCATTATAAATTCAGAACAGGAACAGACAATAGGCTTATGTTACAGAGAGGTGACGTCACCTCAGACCCTCTCTGAGCAGCACAGCGGTTTGGGAAACAGAAAGCCCATAAACTCAGACTTGGGGGGTGGGATGTCTTTCCTGAAGATGTGTGGGTGGAGATCTATGTATGCTAATGCGGTACATGCATGTGCCACCTTTGTCACTGCCTGTCAGTACCATCCTGCAGCTTCAAACACGTGCACAAGGGCTGTCAGTGCTGCAGATGTTTGCTTTTGCTGGATATTCAAAAGAAGGTTTATGTCTCTTAATATACCCACGAAACACGCATAGGGTGGTAAAATTAAGCAGTTTTACTCTAAAGCATGCACATTATCATCTGATTGTTAGATTCTTTTGCATCTTTTACTTGTCCTTCTGCAAAAAAAAACAACTTTCTAAGATAATTTTAGCAGTTAGTCATCAAAAAAATGTTCTATTCAGTTCTAATTTATATATTTGAATTATATTTGACTGACATAATGTCTGTAAACTCTCTGATATATACACAAATCTGTCTAAAAATAATAATACATTAAAATATGACCTATGTTTCTTTGTCTTGTGGCAATTTGTGTAGAACTTTTCTATCTTCAGTTTAAAAACCTAAAGATTGTGAGTATTTTATAAGCCAGTTCCAGTGTTTCAAGATACAACATCTTTAAATTGCACCATTTTTAGTCCACTAAAATAAGAAACAAATGAATAAAGACATTAGCATTCAGAATTCCCCCCCAAAATTTACAGAATTTATGCACGATCTGTTTAATGAATTAATGAAATCGATAAATTTCCAGTAATTAAAACACTTTAGACAACTTAATTTCAGTTTCTGTTTAAATATTTATGAGGAGTGATGAAGGCTGTGTTGGGAAGTCTTGGCTACATTACAAAAAGGAAGCGACTGTAGGAGGTTGTTAAATATGCTAAACATGTACAAGGAAGGAATTAATCTTGTTGGACTTTGAGACACTGAGTTCCACTCACATAGCTTGAAACAGGCCTTCGTAACAGTGGAGCCTTGTTTGTTGCTTTACAATCCTGTGGATAGAAACATTTACATTGCCGGCTTTAATCTGATCTGTCCGGGAGTATTGACTCGTCTTTCAATGGTCTGTGACTCAGCTCGACTGGCTGTTAACCTTGAGCCGCTGTAGCCTGGCCTGTCAGCGCGCCTCTGACAACACTGACACATTTAAACCCATCAGATCAATTGCTAGCAGCTCCCTGCTCTGTGCTGTTTGACCCTAAAGAGGTCAGATGGAGTGAAAACACAAGGAGTGAGTTAAATTACTGGGTTTTCAGGGTAGGTTTAAGCTAGAAAACCAGAAAAGCGTGCAGTGAAATTACATTTTGACTATTTCCACCAATGCTTTAGCTCTGTTTAATGTAATTAGTATGCTTATTGTTTGACACATAAAACAGTAGAAGATCAGATAAAGGAAAATGGGCCCTCTGGGATATGCCCATCTGCCTCAGGCCGAGCCAGCGTGTCTTTTCTGCCACGACAGCTCAAATAAACCCCACCTCGTGCCTGTGAACTCGTGCTTGACTTACCATTCCCTCTGTTGTGTAATTAACGCAGAATCACAAAAGGCAAAAATCCATTTTATGCGTTGGAAAGATTGTCAAATGTGAAACAATATGAAATCCCAATCAGGGTGCCTCTACAGAGCTAAACACAAATGGAAGTATTGAGGGAGATATGCTCCAGTGGAGGCAAATTACTGATAAATCAGAGGCTGCTCATGCATTTTAAGTGCCACATTATACAGAATCCATTAGTAGCAATAGGAGCTCAGCACCACTTGAGATATTAAATCTCTGTGACTGCAACTGTGTGGAACCAGGATGAGTCGATATCAGAGAAACCTCGCCAGCAGATAGGGGATGAGACCTCAAGAAACGATGCCAGAATTACACGCCAACGGCAGCGATATGATAATGGCACAAGCTGGTGATGTGCAACTTGTTAGATAGCAAAACAACCACATTCACTATAGGGCCCGATGAGCTAAATGATCTGGGAGCTAACTGAAGTGTTAATAACAAACTCCTCCAGTGAACATTTTTCAAGGTCTCCCACATTTCATGCCAATACTCAGCTGTGATTTACTGAGGGCCACAAAAATTCCACAACCTGACAGCCAAAACAGGATTTTCAGATGTTACATCTGTCCTTGTGGCTGTGTGTGCTCTTAGTGTGTGCATGTGTGTGTGTGTGCACGAAAACTAGTACCTGCTTTAATCTGGTAAAAAAAAAAAACACTTTTCCTCAAGGCTGAAACATTTTTCTCTGTCGCTCAAATGTCGCAGATGGAAATGAGCCGACATTCGAGCTATCCGTCATTCATCAAACCCAGCAGCCTTACCTTTCCCCCCTCCTGAAGTTATGCATAAGCTATACCTGCTATTTCTCCTTCCACATGCTGTCGCCTGTTGGTGTGTGGATGTAGCAATTACTGAGAACGGGCGTGATCACTGTACCAAGGCGAGCAACAGCTTCCCATCTCCTGGAATCAGAGCTGATCAGCGTGAAACTAGCTCCTCTGCCTTGAACACATGGGCCCGAGGGGGGGAGGGGAAGGAAGTTGAGATCACGGCTTCATAATTTCCTGAAATAATACGGTGTGTAAAATCAGATATGCTTCCTCTGGCGTGTGCAGAAAACAGATGGATGAGAAGGAAGGGCCTTGTGTTAAGACAACAACTCTGCGCCTCTGTGTATATGTTTATGTACAGTTAAGCCCCAAATTATTCATACCCGTCCCAAATCTTGATTTATGGTGGATTAGTAGGTTTCTTCTGGCTGGAAATCATATCAGCAAGAGGAACAAGATAGTAAGACGTTGTGTTGGACATGTTAATTATGCATTTTTAACATTTTTAGCAGAGATGTCACATCCAGCAGTCAAAACAAAGCTTATATTTGCCACCACATCAATCAAACAGTTGTTATATTTGCGAACAGTGTTTCCACATGTCTCCAACAGGAATTTGTTCCTCTTTTCGTGATGATTTCCAGCTTTATTAAGATTGAAGGCTTCCTCTCCATCACTCTGCTCTTCAGTTCCTTCACAGAATCTGGCTGGATTCAGGTCCAGACACTTCAACATCTCCTCATTGTTTTCTCTTCGCCGTTTCTTCACCACTTTGGCTGCATGTTTCACATCATCGTTCTGCTAGAAGCTCAAATGCTGCCCAAGGAGCAGTTTCTCTGCAGACTGCCTGATGTGTTCCTCCCAATCTGAATGTGCTCCTCTTTTCTCATGATGTTGTTTACTTTGACCAGGCTGCCTGGTCCACCGACTGAACAACAGCCCTGAAGCATCACATTCCACCACCATGTTTGACTGTGGGCATGCTGTTGTTGGGCTTGAATACTTCTCTTTGTGTCCAAACAACTCCATTTTTAGCTTACCAGACAAATGATGAAGCAGCAGCTTTCTTCTTTGTCCAGCTGATCTTCAGTGTGTCTGTCTTGGAGAAGTGGATCCTCCTTGGTCTTCATGGAGGCCAGCCTTGTTTGACAAGTTGCTACCAGAACTGCTCACATTCATCAGGATGCTCTTGTTGCTGATTCTAACATTTTTCTTGGCCTCTATGATTTATGCAAGCACAGGCCTCACTTTTGGCTTCCTACCACATCCTTTAAGATGCTTCACAGCGTGGAACTCCTTGTTTTAGATGATGCTTTTGCTGTGACCACTGAACCTTGAAAACACTGGGATGTGACTTTACAGCCTTTAAATGTCCTGTGAGCAACCACAATGTGCAGCTCTCTCTCAGTGGTGGACCCTAACAGCAGCTCACTTGGCTCCATGGTTTTAGTCATTACCTGCAATTAACTACCAACCAGAGAACGACTGCATCAGCTGTTCTCATTTTATAGTGCATTGGAACACTGTAGAGCACGGTAGGTGTTACCAGGACTGTTTTGTAAGGAATAGAAACTGCATTTTCTCAAAAGTTTGTGACAATTTAAAGGGGTATAAAATGTAAAAAAAATGAAGAATTAGTTCAAATCTATCATTACTATCTCTAAACTCAATGTCTTACAGTCTTTTGTTGCTTATTTATGTGATTTCCAGTCCATAAACCCCAATTGGTCAAATAAAAACATACTAGAAATGAAAATTTGGCATGGGTATGAACAGTTTGAACAGTAAAATTCATTTCTTTACAGAAAGAAACACAAACGTACATATTTTACAAACAAGACTCCTGATGTGCTGTGAGAAGCTCCAAAGTAAAAGAATTCTGCAGTGGAATACGAGCTCCGTGATGTCTTTTGCGCTCGGTGTATTTTTTGTGGATCAAGTGTTTTACGACTTCATGCAAACACAGCACGTACACACACATATAGACATATCTACATATACATATACAGATATATCTAATACATATATGAATTTGTGTGTTGGTACAGGGAAACATGGCCCTCTGTGCGTCATAAGATCATGTGTAAATAACAACCCCTCCAGACTTACGTCTTGTTAGGGATGAGGAACGAGTAGAGGGGGAGTTCTTTGCTCAGGCCCAGTCCGGCGAGCGGGGAGGCTGCCAGCGGTGGCAGTGGGAAGACGACGGAGGGTGGAGGAACAAGGGGGGAAAGAAATGGAGGGGTAGAGGGCACCATCTCTCGGGGCCTCTGAGCTTCACTGCCAGTGTGTGTAAATCAGCAGGCAGCTCACGGCTGCAATGAGGTAGAAAATAAAAAAAACATAAAAATGTCCAAGTGAAATAAGAGGCAAGGAGAAATCTTTTATGATGAGCCTAAATTCTCCTTACTCTGCAGTAGATCCACTGACCGGCTCAGCTTGTCTTCTCCAGACACCGTCCATCATCCCAATGTCTGCATATAGCCACAAATTACTCAAATTACCCCACCTGCTACTCATGTAATACATATGTAATGAGTATCCTAAATTCCAATGATTATTATTCATGGTACGTGAATAGGCCGATATCAAATTCATTAATATGCACGTAAAATGATGTGGACTGCCAAACCAAGAAGTTCTGCAGGTGTGGTTTATACACATGAAGTCCTGCACAGAAGTTTATCCAATATGTTTGAACTCTGGGTATTGAACATGCAGCGTCATTTGAGCATGGACGTGTATTCTTGACCTTTGGGAGCAACTTTATCTGCACTCAAAGTTCTATTTACTAGCTTTGTGGACAAACAAGGTTGGTTTAGGTGTCATCAGATGACCTATAAATGTGGAGGCTCTCCAGCTGAAAACACAAAAACCGATTGGCCACATGTAGAGAAATTTTATATTTATGTTGTTTATCATTTTTATTGCTTTGCCACATTGACTTGAAGTAGATTCACTGACTCTTTTTAAGATTTTGAAAAGAATCCAAAATCTTAAACTCATGCAGCCAATCGAGTCAAATTTAGAAGTCAGATCATTTGTATAAACGGAGATCATTTGTAAAGAGGTTTTTTGATTAATCGCAGTATAAATACACCAGCAGCACGAGTCTGGAAAACTCCAAGAAACTCTGCGAAAACCCAAAAGCACAAGGGAGAGGGATACATAGTGCAATCAAAGTGTTTTAGTGCAGTGAGATTTCTGTCATTTTGAAATGTTGATCCCCGTTTCTAAGTTCTACAAAGTGAAATACCTAAAAAATGTACTTTCCTTAGAATTCTCCCTCAACACATTTTGTATATTAATGAAATAATTTATACTTCACATTATATCGCCTTGCAAAGTTGTCCAAATACTTCCCCGATGTAATACATTACATCGATAAATATAAATATGAAGCAGTAAAATTTAACGATTCACCTCGAAATCAGATCTCCGAATCAATCAGTCTAAATCAGGCGTCAAAACCAACCGCGGTGTCCTCAGCGGAAACCACTGGCCTGACGCTGAGGTCACGTCATTCTACACTGATGAGAAGCTTCATGTGTACGCTGGGCTTTAAATTAGCTCAGGTTAGCTTGGCAGGACCAGTGCTTTGGATGCATACCAGAGCTGACACTAAGTGGGAGTGATGGCAACAATCTGCTATCCAGTGACTCAGTTAGCTCAGCAAGCTCCTGTAACTCAAGCCTCATACCTTTACTTCCTCTGTCTTACACAACGCTGCTATATAAAGGACTGACATTGAGATGGAACCCCAACCCCAATGTGAGGTGACTACGACGCTAACTTAAAGAGTAGGAGAGTAAAAGTGGAGATCAATTTGCACAGGATTGGCATGCAGTGCGTGTAGGTGTAAAGGGCTGTAATTACAGTTACAGCGTCTCTGACCTCATTTGATTACAAACTATCCTCCCAAACCATCCGGGGTCATTACTCACCACGCTAACTAGTTCAGTAAATCAGCGGCAGAGCACTGACCTGATATTAGAGCCGCAGCAGGAGAGTAAACAGGGCCAGATTACGGAGGCTGCAGCCTTATAAATAATCCGTGCCAGAGAGATGGAGCATGAGTGAGGTGTGGGAGATGTTTATAGCAGGTGGACAAACACCTGTCACTTTGATAAGCCTGATTTATCTTGAGTGACATGTCAGCACATAGCTCTAGCCGGGACCTGACAGCCCGGACCGCCAACCCCAAGCGCCTGGGGAACATGAGCCCCAAGTTCGTAGCGGCAATGCGAGAGAGATGACAAGCCTCTCTGCAGCCATAACAGCTTCATTTGTTTAAAATATCAGCCGGCACGGTGGTTGATGGCGCTGATTTTGAGGGCCAGGAAACTTGACTTTTTGCGACCCACCGGGAGCCACTTGTGTCTCCCCAGCTCCACAGATATACAGGTCTTCCTTTGACATCACTGTCTGCAGCTCCCACAAGGCTATTAACGGGAAGAGAGAGCAGACACTGATAACATGTGAGAGAAGTGGGCGTGGTGCATGTAATAAATGACCCGTCTGGACCCATATTTACTGGCCTGCCACTAACCCTGGTCTGCAGCTCGTAATATTACACATTAAATATTGAAAAATCACTAAAATAAATAAGAAATCCAAGCCTCAAATTCCAGAAACATGAACGACCAGAGCAGCCTGTCATGATTGTTGTTAGCTCCCGCTTTAAACACACTTGTGTGTCTTCCTCACAATGTCATAAGCCAAACCGGAGGAAACCTTAATTTGTCAGGTGCTGCCGTGAGTTATGTTAGCGGAAACTGACCTCAATTAAGAGTGACTTACATTTAAAAAGTGTCTATTTCGGATTTTAAGATTTAGACCGAGGGGGGAAGAGGCTTTAATGGAATGCTGACATAGGGCCAGTTGGAGAGGTAATACATTTCCTGCAAAATGCCAGGGGATACCACATAAATAAAGCTGTGTTATTCCTGACAGAAACTCTCTATGAAACCTCAGCGTGATGTATTGCAGAGTGACCTGGTTAAAGAGCAGAAGAAACAGCTGACAGCTTGATCAAGATTACCTCTCTAAAGTGGTATAGATCAAGCCTTTAGCCTTCTCATCGAGCCTGTGGGGTGATGATATGAAATGGGGATGACAAAGATGAGCAAAAGGGGATTTTAGTGCACTAAAAGTTATTTATCCACGATGATAAACAGCAAAACATTGGAAATTTTAAAATGTCTGTTAGAGTTGGCAGTGTGTTGGTTTTAACTTATTTGAGGTCCATCAGTGAAAAGAAAAAATGACGACGAATGTGTTTTGTCCTGAAATTTGTTTTATATTTCCATCATCTTTCTCAGCAACTTTATTTATTAGTGCTCAGCAGCTCAATCTATATAGATTTGGCTGGCGAAAGTGTGTCTTTATGGATGAAAGTATTAATTAGTGATATTCTGGTATCATTAGTGTAATTTAGTGCCTGGGAGATTAATGGCACGGGTGGCATTTATCTTTGAAACATTATATCTTGATGTTAAATTGCAATAAAAGAACCTGTATATTCTGGGGATATGGCTGTCCAAATCTAACAGGAGATGGGGGGTGAAGTTGACATCCATTAAGGAAATCCTTTATTGGCACATAAAAATGAGAGGCAATATTTAGCCTTACTTGCCTTTGGCCACCTAACCCATTGCCAAACATTAAAAGGAGGGCTCTTAAGGGGAATAACGCACTATGACAGCACTGTAGAAATATTTGTGTTTATGTGTTAAAATCCACAATTCAGCAGCAACCCCGAAAGTGTTTCATAAGCGAAATGATTGAAGCTAAAAAAAAAAAAAGAAAAATTTTTAAAAAGCTCTCTGTGGCCAAATATTACATTCCTCCAACATACATCCCTCCCCTGCCCTAAAACAAAGCATTCCAGTCTCTATGTTCAATGCAGTATATTCAATAACTAATTATGGTAATTCATTACATCTTCAATTAGTAGAGAAGCTTTATCGCTGCATTATACCGTAAAGAGCAGGATTTATGTCGACTTTGAATGTCACCCAGAGGACAAGAGGACTGGCTCATCACTCAACGGGAACAAAACAGTGAGACAGGAGCAAGGAAGAAAAAAAATAGAAAGGAAAAAGGAGGAAAAGATATAGTGAGTTATTGGTTAATAAATGCATTTTTCCTTCCCATTTTCTCCCAACCTTGAAAAACCCTTGACAAGGCCACTTTTGGCTGTACCCAACCGAAAACGAAGAGCATTACCCCGAAATGTAAAGAAAAAAGTGTTTCAGCGAGGAGATTGTAAAAAGATATGTACAGTATGTATGTAACCTCAGCGGGATGTGCCCAGCTAACGCCACCTCGCCTGCTGTCAAACAGCCCCTCGGAGGGCAATAAGCATCGCTGCTATCTGTGGCTGTCTTATTAGTGCACCTCAGCCATTTCACTCAGGCATGCAGCGCAACCAACCATCTGCCACGCTGCGATCCTCTGCCCAGCAAAGTCTCCCAGGTGCCGTAAAAAGAAAAAAAAAATGTCCTTTTGAAGCTTTGGAACAAAAAGTGCTGACCAGATGAATGAACTCCATTAAAGAAAAATAATAATAAATAAACACATTTTTGACCTTTTAACTCGGAGGTTATGCACATACATTTATGAAGCGTGTGCACAATATTGTAATCATATTCAGGCTGAAGTGTCAATTATTAATCCACTAACTTCTTAAGTGTATGCATGTTAAAGGTTTCACTAGAAAATACATCCATCAAACTGTTTTTTGAATTCATTTCTTCTACAAGTTTCCTGGAAACTGTCATTATTAATTTGTTCTGTAAACACCCTGTCAAGATTTGTCTTCCTTCAGCCTCTCTTCAAAGGTCACAGATGACCTTTGAAGAGACTCTATTGCCACCTTGTGGTTCAACCAGCAGGTTAAACAATAAAAAAAAATCCTCAGATTCAACACACATGCTTAAATCTTTATTTGCAAACATCACATTTGCCAGAAGCAGTGCATGAAATGGTATTGTGGGAAAAAAAAGTAGCTTGAATAGAAAATAAATAAGCACCAGCAGTGCAAAGTGCAGGTATTCTACAAAAATACTCTGAAGTGTGCTGCATTCGACGCATCAGTTTCTTTTAATGAATCCCTGACGGCTTCCAGTTGTAAATTTTGAACTTAGCAAGCAAGTGGACTATCAAAACTTGCAGCTGTGAGGTCTGGGTGTATTTACAGAGCATACAGCTCCATCAGGTACTCTTTGGGAACAATACCTACAGATCCATTCTTCTCTCCGACCCACCAGCCAAAGCTTTGGTACTCCTGGAAACAAGAGAGAAGCAGAGACATGGAAGGAATAATAAGATGATCTCTCTTAGCAGCCAGAATTAGCAACAATAACCAGCAGAGCAAATGACACTTTGTTTGCCGCAGCTATCTGTTTTCCATCCACTCGACAACTTTTCTCGTCCCGCCTCTCCACCTGATGTCAGTTTTGAGATTGCACACACTTCCCCTGCACTCCACACAAAACCTCCTCAGTGTGCACGCAGCACATCGCGCGTAAATCTGTCACTGCCTGACAAGTAATAGCTCCAAATGGCTGTCAGCATGCTGAGATGTGAGGAAGACACCGTGAGAGACGGGAGATCTGAGACAAGAAGAGACTAACCCTCTCCGAGTCTGCAGGAAGAGAGATTGACCTCACATCAAAGTCTTCCCGGGACGTGAATCAGCGCGTTTCGAACCTGTGTAATGTTTCGAATCCATGCCAGAACTCAAGGACAGGAGGTGTGGGAGGTTCACATCTGTGTCCAGTTATTCCCAAGACAGAGTAATGGATGTAAGCGATCATATATTAGTAATAGACGAAGGAAGATTGCAATATCAATAGCGAGGGGTAACATTGGCAGTTGTGTGGTGATGGGCCATCCATCATGTCACATAAAGAAGGGCTTTGACTTACTGTCGGTGTCACATAGTCCAGATGATGCGATTACAGCGAAAAAAAGCCATTAAAACATCAGAATTATTAATAGCGGATTAAACACGGTGTGTACATAACTACAAGAAACAAACAGAGAACGTCACATCCCCGTTTTATGAAAGTGGCATTTCGTCATGAGCCCCTGGAGGGGAACGCAAGCGGTCCGACATGTGATGTGTGTGAGAAAGGTTGTGTGTGTGTGCGCATTACGACTTCCTGAAGCAGCCCTTTGAAAACGGCAACACCTCATTGTGTAGTTGGCCGGCTGACAAATAAGTCATGCTTGAGCGAACGCCGGACACAACATGAGAACACATACACGGAGCTGTGGATGACTAATGACACCACACACTGTGACAACGGTAACGCAAATGCCCTAAAGCTGGCAAAAAACAGAAAAACACCAACAATGTCCTGCAAGTTTTTTATACGTCTGCCGAATTAAAGGGTGCACAAACACAGACTGTGAAAGACATTATTAAGTCAAATTTTACATCTAGCATTACTAGAGGTGTGTGAGGAGGATTGTTGTGGGGGGGGTTAGTGCAGCATATCCAGACAACTCTCCCTCAGTGAGGCCTTACAATCAGCACCCAGGTCCTGACTGGGGGGTCTCGCAGCTGTAACGCTACGGCTATTCCTGGGCTGTGGAATGGGGGAGGGATGCACGGAAGAGGGAGAAAGGAGAATTGGCGGTGGAGGAGGGAAGGGAGTGATGGAGGAGGAGGAGGAGGAGGAAGGGGGAAGGAGTCGGCTGTCCCTTTAGCTGCAGCTGGCTGCTGCAGTCCAGACAGGTTTTATGGTCATTGCCCTCGCAGCGGGCCACAACCCCCAACACCAAGGTTTCAGCCTAATGGCACTCCCAGTCTAAGTGAAAGGGCAACTTGATTCTTGGGCCCTTTTTTCCACACACCAAGGAGGAGTAATAAACAGGCATTTGGTCAATGAGTATTGATAGGTCTGTCTGCTTTTGTGCATTTGTGGCCTTCCATTAGTGCTGAAAGAACAGTGGAGCGATTGGTCGACAGAAAACTGTGGTGATTTGGTATTCTGTGATGTCATTTATACAACAAAATCACCAAAGAGTAGCTGGTTAAATGTAAAAATGTGCTTTTTTTTTCTATCAAAATGTTTCCCTGTGAAAAAAAGAGCTCATGAAAGCTCTATTTTTCTATTAGATTTCACCACTACACAAGTAAATATAAGAGAATTTTCTATCTGTGAATAATGTGCTAACACAGTCCTGAGGAGCAGTGACAACATGTCTCTTTGCTTTTACATGCCACTAGATGGCAGACTTGAATTTGAAAAGGGACCTTGCCAATTACAACCTTATGTCTCAGTTGACTCCATGCTCCATAGAAACCAAACCAGACAGGAAATATAGCCTGTCTAGATGGACCACATTTCACACTTTTTTGCTCGTGTAAAAGTATAAAATTCCACTACTCATTTTTTTTTGTCTGATGCTCAAAAAAAAGTGTTAAATGTATGACAACAAAATCCAATTCTGCGTTCATATGAACCAGTTAAGTACAAAAGGGCTCCTGTTTGGTTACATAATAAAGCCAAAGAACGGCCCCTCAGTTCTCCCACCCAGGCCTAGCTGACAAGCCTCGGAAATTGTGCGTCCACTACACGTCCTCACCTGTTCTGAATAGAGTGGCGGACTCAGCCTGGGTTTCCTGAGAACACACATTCCTATTTGCCGAGGTGAGAGAGACGTCTGAGAGGTGTGTGGGCTGAGGGCCGCTCACCGCCTGGCATGGCAGCAGCGACAGCGCGCTGAAACAGTCCAGATGGAAGTGATGGAATGGCGCCGTGTGCCAGCTAAGCCCAGCCTCCGCCAACAGCACTAAAACAGTTTCCGTTGTGACACAACTAATCCCCATCAGAGTGCCAGAGAAAGAGCCTAGCCCAGTCTGCCTCTTACCATCAGCCGTCCACCTCCAGGCGGTGGGCCAGGCGCTGCCAGTAAAGGGTCTGAATAGTCAGTTCCTCTGAGGGCCTAGAAATAACTCACTTTAGGTGGTCTCAAACCAGCGTAACCACTCCGACTCCAAACCTCTTCTCAGACTTTAGCGTAGCACTCGGGTTTAAGTTAATCCTGGTTTCACGGTGCATCAAGAAAACACTCAACAAGAGACAAATCAACATTTTCCCCTCAGACAACCAGGGTTTTCCTCACCGCACCTTGCTCAGGATGTAGATGGCATCTCCACGTTTGAAGGACAGCTCGTCTGGGTGGTCCCCTATGCAGTCCCATAAGCCCTGGTAGTAGTTCTGGTAGTCTGTGCTCTTATCAACTGGAGGGAGAAAGAGGTGATCGTATTATGTGCTTTATTTATTTATTTTTTTTACTGAGAGAAGTCATTTTTCATCTACAACTGTGGTGCAGCAGTGACTGTCAGTACAAAGCAGAACCAACAGGAGGCAGTGGAGAGCCTGCAGATGAATTTGATGGCATCATGTACCAAAGCAAGACAGATGCTGTGTCCCAGTTTCACACTAAATACTACATTTCAAGCTGGTTTTGAGTTGGGCTGAATGATTTAATTGTGATTTTTCTAACATATATTGCAATTTGTTATGTCATATTTTAAAGTTTCCATTAAATATTTAACGTGTAGTCATGTGATGAAGAATTACCACAAGACAGCATCAATAGATTAGAATTCAAGGATCAGAATTTAAAGATATCAACTGCTTTAAACGTCCATTTACATTGTTTTTTATATAAATGACAAAGCTGATAGTGGTGAATAAAGTAATAATAATAAAAAATGAAATTTCAATAGGAAAACAATAGTGCCTTGTCATTCCTGGCTCAACAATAGCATTTAAGTATTGCACATTCTGCAATCAAGTTAGATTAACAATAATAAAGAATAAACCCTGAGGTCAGACGTGCTGCATAATGTGTATCCTAAATTGCAGCCTTTGCGATTTGCTAATTGCATTGTTTCAAACTGCAACTAACGCAGAAAGGAAAATGGAGACGCTGGGCACGGCTGCAAAAAATTAAATAGAGTTTAGTGGGAAACATGTCAAGAAAGAGCTCAGAAGGCAAACTAAGATAAACACTATAATGTGTACACAGTGAAAAAAAATCTATTTAAAAAAATATGTACACAGCATCACAAGACATATGTAAAATCTATGTACATTCTTTTTTTCCCATTTTTTTAAGCAAAAAAAAAAGTCTGTGGAATACTTGAGCATTCCCAAACTGTGAAAACAACTACACATAATCAGTAAAATAATATTTTGAGCTGATTTAAGCACTAGTTCTTGATGCCTGTCAAGATGCAAATGAATAGATTTTTCTGTGATCTTACTATAAATTATCTGTAATTTACCAAAACAGTGAAAATCTATAAAATAACTATTTAAAATGATTTTTCAATTCCTACTATACAATTTTTTGTTTAAATGACAGGAAATATCTGTGACATAACAATATTTTTTGTGAATTGAAAAACAGAAAGAATTCAAAGAACAAATGACCATTTATGCAAATACAGATTTTTGACTGACAGTGTTTACAGTCTTGCCTTGTTAACATGTAAATTAATACCTATTTTAAGTGATTTTGCAAGTTATTATCCGCAAGAATTCTAAAATATTTGCAAATACAGGTAGAATTTGTTGAAAATCATTCATTTTTACAGTGTTGTAGTATATTATAAACGTTAGCATATAGTATACAGTTAGTATGGGGTCTTAGCAGGTTGTGTTTTCAGCTCTCGGCTAATTTATTCATCTTAAGTGTTACCATTTAAAGTTTGGTGGTGACTCTCAGCGCTTGTTAACCACAGGAGTGCTCACATAGATAAACTCGATATATGCGAGATATTTTTGCGCTTACAAAACTACAACATGCCACTTAGCGTGAAAGGAAGTTGGCCAACTTGGTACAAGTTATTTCCAGTGTTGACCTAACTTTCGGTTGTTCACACAAACTTCCTCTGTCAAAGTCACTTCTTCTAAACTGTGAGCTTGCTTGTTGATCTGTCTGCTCCTACACTCTGCATCTGCAGCGAAAGTTAGCTTCTAATTTACTGAATAAACCACTCGGTCTTGACACAAATGTCAGCGCTGCGTACCTGCAGCTGGGGGAGCAGGTTTGCTTGCTGGCTCGACTTTTGGAGGAGATTTCACTGGAGCGGGCACGTCATCCTCTGACGAAAACAAAGACAAAACAGATTAATTAGTTAACACAGAGCTGTAACCACTAGCAGAAAATTTAAACATATCAAAGACGTATGTGTCATTTGCTTATTCTGAAGGATGCCTGAAATTTACACTTGTGTTTTACATCGCCATGGATTGCAAGCCCACCATGCAAGAAGGAAGCCCTTTCTCCAGAAATGACACCTTAAAGCTTGACCAAAGTTTGCTGCTGACTACAGGGACAAAGAAAAGGCCTTCTGGAGGAAAGATCTACGGTCAGATGAAATGAAAAATGAGCTATTTTGCAACAATGACCAGAAATATGTTTGAAGGAGAGAAGGTGGGGCCTTTAGCTCCACCAACACCAAACCTACCATCCAGCATGGTGGTGGCAGTATTGTGCTCTGGGGCTGTTTTGGTGCGAGTGGAACCAACGCTTTACACAAAATAACTGGAACAATGAAGATTAAGGATTAGCTATATGTATATTACCTACATATCGTGTTATCACCAGCAGGAAGGTTTGCTCTTCCAACAAGACAATAACCACAAACACACTTTAAAAGTGGTAAAGAAATGGCAAAATCAGGATAGAACTAAGTTTTAAGACTGGTCTCCCCAAAGTCCTGACATAAACCCCATCGAGAAACTGTGGTAAAAACACAAGTGTTTCTCAGAAGCCAACAAATTTAGTTCAGCTGCACCAATTCTGTCAAGAGTAATGGTCAAAGACACAACCAGACGCTATAAGCGGCTACTAAAAGTGCCTAGTTGAGGTAAAAATGGACAAAGCATGTTCAGCCAAATATTAGCATTGCTGTATGCATATATTTGACCCAGCAGATTTTGTTATATTTCTAGAAAACCTCAAATAAATCTATAAAAGAACCAAAATGCATGATTGTTTTGTTTTTTTTGTGACAAAGATTCCTAAGTTTCAATGAATTCCATCATAGAAAACAGTTCCAGGAGTCACTGGAAACTAAAGACTGCCGTGCTTTTGTTCACAACTGTACATATTAATCTGTGATCAGACCTGGGAGCTCTTCATAGATGTCGTCATCGATCGGCTCAGGCTCAGGTGCATCCACTGCGTGTCCAATGTCATCGTACATCTCCGGTTCCTCCTCTTCATCTTCTGGGATGATGCCTGACATATCTGCAAGCAGTAAAGTACAGTCAATAAATGTTGATTCGCACTTAACATTTAGAGAATTTTGTTCATATTTGACTGCATATTTAAAAACAAAAAGCAGCGCTAGTGGCATTATAAAGCATAATAAAGTCTTCTCATGATTGGAAAAGTTGTTCAAACCTTTCAAAACAAAGTCTATCTGTTTCACCCATTCCTTCGCCTCTCTCACCGATGACGCACAAAACTGTGATGAAAGAGGAGAGAAATGAAAACTGCAGTCAGTGCAATAAGCACCTCTACATATATTAATTAACATAAGCAAATAATGCTGCATTTATGCATAGTAAAATGTTCCGCATGGAAGAGCCGGGATGTTAGAAACACTCATTTACACCTTTTAAATATGCGTGGCAGGTTGAGCCATTGCAAAGGCAGCAGTGTCAAGTGAATGAAAAGGTTTAGATTTAGCGAAGTGCATGTACACACATGGCGTGCCAAGTTTTAAACATGGCACCTCTCAAGTGCGCGTTTGTTTTTCAATTTAGGAAGCAAAATTAGCGAGAAAACCACTGCAAAGACACTCATCGGGAGACGAGCGTATACCTGATAGACTCTCTTGTCCGGAGCCGAAATTTCAAAGCAGCAATCTTTCTTGGAGTCTTTTCGTAAGCTGCTGTTCATTTTGACAGCGTAGCCGTCGATATTGAACTCGCCCTTCTGCTGCTTGTCTGGTTAGAAACAATTAAAGCATCATTATGATTGGTTCAGATACCACGAGTGCAAAAGACGCTGTCAAAAGCTGGGAAATAATCCACCTGGCTGGGTTTACTCAGACAGTACTGATGGGAAATTGGGATGAAATGAAAGAAAAACTGAAGTACCTTTCTCGCTGCCATAATAGTAGAAGGTATGATGGCTCAGAGCACACCATCTCTTCTGCCACTCGGTGCCAAAAAAGCTGTGATCTGTGGTGGGAAAACAACAAACAGACAACTAGAAGGGATTTTCTGGTGTATTTTGGGAAGCTATTAAATGAAAAACACAGCTGGAGCTGGCCTGCAGTGCTTAATTTAGGACATTATTTACAGCGTCTAGCCAACCGTTTCGCAATTTTGGATGCTATTTTGTATCATGTGAGCTCTTCCAAGGAGCTGTAATTTCTTGACTTTATAAGTAGCCTTTTATTTCTGTTCAAATGAGTCCAAACAGTACATCAGAACATTTTTGAGAGGTTACATATTTCAGTGTCTAGGCGACCTGTTTTTTTCCAAATAGAGCCAAAATAGACTCCAAAAAAAGCATTTAATTTGTGTTTTATTAATAGAACACCAACCCTTCCTGCGTTTCTCAAGATATCCTGCTTTGAAGACAGACGACAGGTCCTGAGCTGCCACAGGGGGCAACTGCTGGGCACCTGGAGAAAGAGTAAAAGAAACCCAAAGACATTAGATAAGACTAGACAGGATAAGCTAAGACAGGATGAGATGAGATGAGATGAGATGAGATGAGATGAGATGAGATGAGATGAGATGAGATGAGATGAGACTTTATTGATCCCAAAGGACTTTTTTTTTTTTTACATTTTGCTTCTTAAAAAAATACATAACATCAAAAAATGCTTAGTACAAATCAATAAGATCCAAGAATTACAAAAAAAAAGTTAGAGAAAGGAAGATGAGAATAGAAAAAAGTAATAAGCAATACTGGCAACGACACTGAGGTCATAAAATGTCGCACACGATACAGACATACTGCACATGTAATGGAAATATCACACATAAAAGTGGAATATCGCACCAGAAAAATAGAATATTACAAATAAGCCTGAGGGTTCTCTCTAAGCTTGTTATTGCTGCTGACAGCAAAACATGATTTTTAAGTGCTCAACATATCCAGATGATCAAAACTTTGTCGTCACGTATTTGTTTTAAGGCTGCACGATGTGTCATTTAAGCACCGACACTGTACGCAAAAATGACCTGAACAACCTTTTGTTGCAGCTAAAGCAGAACTCACACTGAAGTGAAGGCAGCAGTGCTCTGTTTATAGAAATGTGACAGTTCATTTAAAATATTTAGTCTCTAAAGTCATTTTAACAGTCATGATGAATAGTCTAATCCTGTTGCCAGTGTTGACTCAGAAAATCATGATTTGAACTTTAGCCATAATTGTGCAGCCTTAGTCAGCCTTAGAAAGGACGATGTCGATCATAAACAAGTTCACTGCCTTGCACAAGAGTAGGCAACAACTGACCATTAAGCACCACAAAGCTCTGTGTGACAACTGCAAAACCAGATCTGAATGTTCTCCAAAGCAAAAAGGCCATTTTGGATGCCTTTGAATGTGTTACACTGTTGTACACTTCCCTACTAATTCCCCCTTAATCATTCTACAATGACTAATCCTATCCAAACAGAGTTATTCAAATCATCTGGTAAATCATCCTGTATTTTTTTCATATCGCAACACATAATCGCAGAAAAACAGATCATCGACATGTCCGTTTTTGCAATACTGTGCAGCCCTACTTTGCTTAATCAATGTTAAAAACCGATAGCAAAAGCCACGGTGACTGCACTAAACAATGTTTTACTTCTCAGTGGAGGTGGTTCCCCCTTGCAGCGTGCAACTTCAATGCAAATGTTCAAATGCTGTGTCAAAGTTGCTTTGTGTGAAAGAGCAGCCATAAAACTGGCAGCTGCTTACAGCCCATAAACCCCCCGTCTCCTAATCACCATTTCACAAGGATTTCCCTGATAGTCTATTTTAAAAAGCAAATATATATATAAAAAAATCTTGCCTAGATTGCCATGATTGGAGCGCACCGGATTAAAGCTACTGTATACTGGAGAATGTTTTCTTTCTCGCAAAGCTACAGCCGTGGCAGTAATTTTCAGTCCCCAGGCTGCGGGCTGAGAGCAATAAAGCATGCTCTGGCTGTCAAAGGGGTGGGGTGAGGGAGGTGGTGGGAGTAGCAGTTGTGCCCCCAAATTGCTTCCCAAGTATGTTGCCAAGTTACAGTTGGAATGTCTCCCTCTTTGTGCCACTCAAAGTCACTTTCTTCGAGAAGCAGACGCCGAGATTTGTATATTTTCACGCGTTAATCCGCAGCTTGAGAGCAGTTAGCGAGTCAACTCTGGACGTCTGCTGAGCGTTTCTGGCTTACCTTCGCAGGTCTCCTCATCCTTGTCAGTGCGCTCCGACAGCAGCGACCCTCCGTCATTGTTGCTGTCAACTTCCTCCTCGTCATCCGAGTCGTCTCCGCCTACTGGAGCAAACACAGGGAGCTGTGTAGTAACAGTAATGCAGGATTTTCCAACCTGCTGTGCGTGTCTGTGAGGGGGGTTTTCCCTTCTTACACTGCTTGCGTAAGTTTTAAAAGTACAAAAAGGCAAAACAACTCAGTATTTTGCAAGAAAAAGCAACCATAAGTAGTCTGTGCATCTAGTGAGCCCTTTGCATTCATCAGTTTCAGGATGATTCAACAAAAGAGAAAGACTCACTTTTTTCCTTGAAATCTTGTGGGAAGCTGTTGGGGAGGGAGACGGCAAATAGACGTTAGCAGCTTTAAAAATATTGCATCAGCGAAAGGAATGTAAATATTAAGTGACACATTTGTAACCAAACTTCAAAACAGGAAATGTTTGATTTATTGGTGCACACAGACGTACCCTTGTTTGACCTCCCTGATTCGTCTGATGAAGGTCTCCCTCTTCTCTTTGGCCTTCTTGCTCAAGTTTTCCCCTTTCAAGCCATCGCTGAGGAAATGTTCGAGATCTGAATGAAAATATTAGGTTGGAACATTCATTCGTTGTGAGATACTGAGAGTGATGTGCTGTTTTGGCAAATATATCCATTGATGTAGATAATAGGGGGATGCAGGGAATACATCCCCCCTGTAATAAAAAATACTAAAGTTATAGCGAAATGTTACAGCAGCTTGAAAAAATGCTATAAAAGCAACTCATTGTGCCTGAATTAGAGCTGCAACAATTAATCGATTAGTCACCAGCTATTTTGATAATCGATTAATCGGCCTTTCTCAGATTCCAGCTTCCATATTTGCATATTTTCGAGGTTTCTTTCTTACTTTATGACGCTAAACTGAATATCTGTGGATGAAACAAGACATATGTTGGCTTTTAGGAAACACTGATCAACTTTTTTCTCCGTTGTCTAGACCCAACAACTAGTCGATTAATCGAGAACATGATCAACATATTAATAAAGAATAAAAATAATCATTGGTTGCAGCCATGTTGTTCATTCCTTTACATCTTGAGCAGAGCTGCAACCAATCAATCAACTAATGGATCAGTTGGCAACTATTAAATCAATCGTCAAAATACTCTGATTACAGATGCTAAATCTGAATATTTTCTGGTTTCTTTACTCCTCTAAAGTAGTAAATTGAATACCTCATGGTTTTGGCAAACACTGATCAACATTTCTCACCATTTTCTGACCCAAACAACTAATTGATTGGTCATGAAAATAATCGACAATGAGGATAATCTATGTTTGCAGGGCTAGTCTGAATTCTGCATTTTCTTTTACATAAATCAAGACATTTCCGAGTATAAATTGATGCAGAAAAGAGACAAATGGGTGCATAAAATTTCACCAGAATGCAGGAAATGAAGTGTTTGATGCTTTAAAATCCCTGGAGGCCCAGAGTCCTGAGCCGCCGCAGGTGGAGACTGCTGGACACCTGGAATAAGAGTTAAGTAAACCCCAAGAAATGGGCCCAAGAGTTCCCTCTAAACTCATCATCGTTGTCACAGAGTCTCTTCAATGCTTTTATAAGTTCTTTAATGTTTAACATAAGTTTTTTAATGCAAAGCTTTGCTATCATGTAGTTGTTTTAGGGCTACATGACGACACATGAAAGCAGCTCCAACACATCATCCATCCATTATCTATACACCATTTAATCCTCACTAGGGTCATGGGGGGCTGGAGTCTATCCCAGCTGACTCAGGGTGAAGGCAGGGGACACCCTGGACAGGTCACCAGTCTATCACAGGGCTACACTTAGAGACAGACAACCAAGCACACTCACATTCACACCTACGGACAATTTAGAATCACCAATTAACCTCAACATGTTTTTGGACAGTGTGGGAGGAAGCCGGAGAACCCGGAGAGAACCCACGTTGCACGGGGAGAACATGGAGACTCCACGCAGAAAGATTCCAGGTGTCCTTACCCACAAACCAGCGACCTTCTTGCTGCGAGGCAACAGTGCCACCAACTGCGCCACCTTACAGCCCTCCAACACACGATGCAACAACTTTTTTTTGCTGCTTGACACCAAAAAGAAAACTGGTATGGAAGTGAAAGCAATGTTCTCGTTATTTCAGTGTGAAAGTGCAATAAAAAGTACTTAGCCTCTAAAATCAATGAACTAAATAGGCGGATTATGATTTCAATATTGACCAGAAATATTTAGGATTACAGAAAAGTTGACCTTGTCCAAAAGCTGTTGCTCAGTTTTTGCCACCACATGAGGCAACACAACTAATGAGTCTGACCATTTAAATCAGTAACACAAAGATCTGTAGCCCAGAGCCACATCTGAATGTCATCTAAAGCGAAAAACGACTTCGGTTCCAGTGTTAAACCATATGAAAAAAGACTCCAAATGAGCTAAAGAATTGAGTGTATGATGGAAGCCCAGACCCCTGCTTACTGTTGCCCCCCCTCAATGCTGAAATGACATCTACGCCCCTGAAACATGGCCACGCAGTGGTGGAGACCCTCCTCCATGTCAACGCGCCAACAAGACAGCAGCTTGGACGCTCATTGTTTCCCACATGTGAGTGAAATATCAGCTCAATGTAAGTATTCCTGCTGACATGCAACTGACAGAAACTGCACCCATGTTGAGTCTGTGGTTCCTCTTTTACCAAAACACCCTGAACTTTAGTGAAACAAGCCCTTAAAAACACGGAAACCAAACAAAGCGCACAAACTGACGCTCGTGTGTCGGTATGTGTGTGTTTATTTACCTGAAATAAGCGCAGTTAGTTCCTCGGGAATAGCGCGCATTGTCACCAAATGTGTTGCCTGAAGCGATGGACCGTCCAGCAGGGGAGAAAAACTTTACATGATACGGAAGCAGCTCAGGGCGCAGAGATACGGAAGTTAATCTGCTAATTATTTACCAGTGACCCGTTGAGTTCCCCTGCAGGACAAACCTGCGTGGTGTTCAGCATCCTGCGCTGACGTTTATGGCTCTTTATTTTTCCCTTTTGACTGCCACTGAAGACTTGATGCTTTAATGGCGTCTTTACGCAATAATAAAGTCCAAGCCGTGCGCCGTGATCATATTTTTGATTGATTCCAGATAATATTTCTTTGGCACTTAAGTCAGCGCGCTGTGAGTGACTCAGTGGACACATTATTGGTGTCTTTTTTTACAATGATGCAAGCACTTCGAGTTTATGAATATGTCAACATTGTAAATCTAAACAGGCAATCATTATTAGTCCAGGAGCCAATTATATAACTCTGCTCTTCTGTGCCAGCGCTTTTACGCAGCACAGGTTTATTCCTGAATTTATTTGACAATTTCCATCTTATCTGACGCAGCTCCTTAAAAAGAATCCTTTGCCTCCTGGTGTTTTTTTTTTTTTTTTTTTAGCTCCTTAAAAAGAATCCTTTGCCTCCTGGTGTTTTTTTTTAAAGGCCCTTTGTCATATTGTTTATAAAGCTGTCAGTCATTTATTAGTCATCTTTTGACAGGCAGCATCACCCAATCCAAGTTGAAAGACTGAGCCTTTGAACTGTGGAGCCTGTTGTTGTGGAGAAATGAGACAGAAATGTCAGTGCAACTCTGGCAGAGGCTTTGTGAGGAGTTTCAGCTTTGACTGTAGCTGCAGGTGTTGGAGAGCGTTTGTCTTTGCTGTTTTGTCTGTAGAAATGCTTCAGCTTCTATATAGAGAGGGAAATATGTGTCCAAAGATACATCATACACCATGTACACTCTGCAGGGGTGCATTACTCTGCTACTTTTGCTTTTGAATGTCGGAATTATATGAAAAACTGTGCAGCGTGCAGATGTTTCTGATTCTTAAAGTTATTATAATGTGACATAAAGTCTAATCCCTGATGCTTAACGCTAGATTAAACCTCAGATCATGTTTGACTGTCCCACGGTTCTTCCTCCAAGCAGTTTCAAATGTCGCTTCTTGTTTAGCCTCATCAGAATTATATGAAAAACTGTGCAGATGTTTCTGCTTCTTGAGGTTCTAACAATGTGACATAAAATCTAATCCCTGATGCTAAACTAAATCCCAGATCATCTTCCACGGTTCTTCCTACAGACTGTTTCTCGTGTCGTTTGTTTTTGTAGTCTCATAGTAAATAGATATGAAAAACTGCGCAGCATGCAGATGTTTCCAGTTCTTGAGGTTATAATAATGTGACATAAAATCTACTTAATGCTAAACTAAATCTCAGATCATCTTCTGCTGTTCCACGAATCTTCCTACAAACTGTTTCTCATGTTGCTTGTTTTTGTACCCTCATCACAAATATACAAAAAACTGTGCATCATGCAGATGTTTCTGGTTCTTGAGGTTATTATAATGTGATATAAATTCCAATCCCTGATGCTCAGTGCAAAATGAAACCTCAGATTGCATTCTGCTGTTCCACACTTCTTCCTACAGTTTCTAATGCCGCTTATTGTTCAGCCTCGTCATATGAAAACCTGTGCACCATGCAGTTGTTTCTGGATCTTGAGGTTATAACAATGTGATATAAAATCGAATCAGTCACGTCCTAATGCATAATTAGACTTCAGATCCTCTTCTCCTGTTCCACGGTTCCTTCCTACAAAACAGTTTCTGACGTCGCTTCTTGTTTAGCCTCGTCTGACCGGCCGGTACATTCTTTGAGAGCCGCAAATGCTCGGTGGTCATTCAAAACCTGACCCCCTCCTGACCTGGTGCTAGTTCCTCCCCGCTTGAAGAGGAGAGGAGAGCCGGCTTGACCTCTGACCCCTGTGTGTGTCTCTGTGTGTGCATGTGGGAGGGCTCTGCTGGCACAGTGTTGGATCTAGTTTCCCATAAAGCTCCATCTACTCTCCTGTCATCTCGAAAAAACAGCCTACCTTCTCCGCTTCCTTCCCATTTAATCAGTACAGGTCTGTAATCTGCATGCTGAGGATGCTGCAAAGTTCCTCCTACAGAATAGCATTATGCAGAAAGTTAATTCATAATGCAGCTGAAATTAGCATATGGCATATATAAATATATAATACAGCATATGGTTTAGACCCTTTTAAAGTACTTTTTGGCTCCTATTCACAACAGGGAGCACTGAACAACAGCTCCTTGCTATATTTTGAATTTTTTTTTCTTCTATAGCACAAAGCCACTTGGATCACTCACTATATTACATGCATTAATAGATGGTTCTTTATGGTACATGCTGGACCTTTTTAGTATTTCTTTTGGCTCCTATTCACAGCTGGGGGCACCGAATAGCAGTTTATTACTTATTTACATAGTTGCACACTCCCCTGTTTTCCATGCAGTGATGTCTGGTGCTTTTATGATATGCGTTTTGTCTTAATGGTGTGTATTCTGTCCCGTCATATAGTCTCGTATTAGTTTTGGGAGGAATGCAAGTTTAATTCCACCATATACCTCAAACGTGGCGTTAGAATGACAATAAAGTTGACTTGGGGGAAGAGTAGGAATTAAAATGCAGTAGATTTAATTTTTTTTTTGCTGCATTTTATGAGTTTGTGGGAGAAAATTAACAGCCAGGCTTCAGCATGGGACAGTGTTGTGGGGGGATTTTTCTAAATAATGAACCTAAGAGGAGGTGGATTTGTGGTTAATTCATCTTTTAAACACTGTATTGCTGACACAGTGTGGTCCTAGTGGCATACAGGAAGCTCAGTGGCTACAGCAGCACACCACAGTCTGACTGCTTCAGTGCCTCCTGCTATGAGACTTACACTCCATCAGCTTTGTTTTCAAATTATGCACAATTTGCATCACTTTTTTTTTCTGCAGAAATAGCACTTTAACACCTCAATTCCCATTTTTATTTTTGCTCTGAGGGCTCTAAGCCCAGCAGTACAGTCCTGACTACAGGCTACAGCAGTGTGAGTGCAGAAATACTGAGCTTGTACCGCCTGCAGACTCTGCTCAGAATAATTAATCAGGGTGACTGTTAATCTCCTGGAATAGTGGCTTTTCATCAAGCATTTTTCCCCCCTAAACATTAAATAATGTATCATTTAATAAAAAAAGAAAACAGCTGCTGTTGCACTGCGTCTCGGTAAACGTGGAGTCGAGGATCAACTGGTCGGTTTGAAAAAATTCCTTCAGCAGCAAATGAGCAGGAAAAAACCCCCGTTGGATGCAGATTTATATCAAATTTACAACGATTTACTATAAATGGAAGAAGCAAATACGCAAATCTATCCTCCCGTTTGACTGATATCTGCATATGCACGGTCGATTTTTTGCTCCTCTCAAAAGCAAATTAATTTATAAATTATCTAAATTTACGCATCGATTTAGGAGGAGGGAGAAAAGTGTCTCACGTCTGGAGCTCTGAGCGAATAAAACATCGTTTTAAATCATATAAAGTTTGGGAAACAACAATGGAAGGAGCTTCTTAATTCAAAGAGATTGCATTACGTCGCGGATCAGGCTATAAACAAGCACCCTCAGTCCTGTGAGTTTTATAGGCAATAAAATTTAATTAGAAAGCCAAGAAAAGTCATAGCTTTTGGCCTGGGACTCCTAGCAGGCAATTCTCACTGCAAATTTACTTTTTCTGGGTTTAAACATGCAGAGGCAATGAATCTTTCTCCCCTCCTTTTTCTTTTTTTCCCCCCTTTTTTTTCTTTTATTTTGCTCCTGATACCAGAAGAAAAAGACTCTCAGCTAAGCCAAGGAAAATAAAAAGTAGGTTATACAATTACATATTAATACCACTTAGAATTTATTTGTATTCCATAGTGCTGAAATTATAGTCAGTGCATCCACTGGGTATTTATTTTAAATATGAAGGTATCCTTTGGCTTAACAGATAAATAATGTATTTTATGGCTCAAAGTCTAAAGCATATTTTTGAATTATGCAGCTACAATCAATAAGCTCTAAACTTGCTTATTGTGAAATAAGACAATAGCAGGTGATTGCAATCAATGTAAAGTTTTATTTCAAGAAAAATACTGTGCTCAATTATAGTCCAAATCCATATAAAAATAAATGTCCTCTCGCAGCCTATGTTGGAATAAACACTCCACATAGGCAAGATTCTTTTCTTTTTTTTCGCTTTAACTTACCTTATTTGTGAGAGCTTTATTTTTATTATTCTTTTTTATCCTCACGCTAAAATTGAGACCAAACACAAGAGTGTGAGTTAAAATCAAACATTTCAATAGCTCAGGTTCTGCAGGTCGATTGTGGTGAGTGTTTCTGAAAAAAGGTCGAAAGTTTCGCAGGATAAAGGCAGAGGACTTTCTGTGGAATCGGACAAACTCGGCGAGAAAGAGGACGAGGATGAGAAAACTTGGAAATCCTGCAAAGAGAGGCCCGAGGAATGATCATTGTCCGGGCCTATTGTTGGCACGCACATCGGAGCTGTGGGTGTCGGGTTTGGAAAATGTTTCAGATTTTTCTCATTGCTGCTCAAAGGGGTAACAGTCGGGCTTTGGTTCTCCCCATTGTGCGCGTTCTGACACGGCTGTGAAGTCAAGGTATTCTGGTGGAAATACCTCTCCGTCTCCAGGAGCGCACCGCCGTCCGCCGCTTGCTCGAACTCCTCCTCGTCCTCCGGCCCGTCGTCCACACACGCGTACTTCCCCTCGCTGTCCCGGTTCTCCTTGCTGTGCGTCTGCCTCTTGTGCTTCATCCGCCTGTTCTGAAACCACACTTTCACCTGCTTCTCCGTTAAATCCAACAGCGCGGCTATCTCCACCCGCCTGGGTCTGCACAGGTATTTGTTAAAATGAAACTCCTTCTCCAGCTCCAGGAGTTGGGTGTTGGTGTACGCAGTCCTCAGCCTCCTGGATGCGCCTCCGCCGCCGCTTTCTGGCACCTCAGGTGAACCTAAAAACATAAACCAAATATTATTTTGTTAAAAGGATGGCGATGAGAAATTAAACACAGTTATGTGTGGGGGCAAAAAATAAGCTCTGTGGGGTGAAACTTGTGGTGAAGCAAGCGAGCGAGGAAGCAGGAAAGCACCGGGAGTGGGAAGATTTATGGGCCCCAGGCAGAATATGATGGGTCTGCGTGGACAGGACAGGACGAAGGGTGAAGATTAATGAACATGCCAGCTGCTGGCCCGTGTAAGAATAATCTATCACTCTCTATTACTGTCAAACATTAACACTCTTACACTGCATCACAAGTCAGTGCGTTACTTGATGAGATTAAGCATGCTTAAATCAAAATCCTATACTGGCTTAAAGGGACGCCCACGTTGCACAAGGCCCCGGGATGCAGCTCCTTGCAGAGGGGGAATCCTCAGACAATCAGGAGCCTTTTTGTGCATGGAGGTTATTAATCATCATGTCTTGCCTTGGGGGGAGAAGTAGAGTGGTGAAGAGTCAGCCGTTGTCGCAGCAGCAGCAGCAGAAGAAGAAGAAGAGGAAGAAGAAGGAGCAGAAGCAGCAGCCTGGTTCCTCTTGATGCTTTTCTTCTCCTTCATCCACGGGTACTCCGGGGGCAGGGATGCAGCCTGCAGCGGGCTGCAGCCTTTCAGAGCCTGCTTGGAGCGGCTGTGGCGTGGGTGGACGCTCGGGTTCAGGCCGGGAATGGTGTGCTCAAAAGGAGGAGGAATCAGTGTCGACTGTGAAAGCGCTGAGCTCTTGATTGATGAACTTTGAAATGCATCACCGACAGGGTTAGTGAAAGATGTCAGGCACTCAGCGAGCGACGGCTGGCTGTTGATGAAACCACTTTCTCGCCCAAATTCGTAATTCATCTCCTCCGCGCTTGTCTCGAAAGCTCGCTGATTCTGAGTTGATTCAGAAGGAGGGGGGAGGGAGGAAATAATAAAAATTAATAAGCAGTTTATTTTCATAAACTACTTAACCGGTTATGGTCGTATGGAGACCTCTATGCCATAAACTATTGCTTTCATGAGGACATAGTCGGAATTAGACCGTGCTGCTTGTCACATGATTGCATCTGCCCAATGACAATTTGGGGTTTTTATCAAAAGAAGCCACTGTCCCCTGTGATTGATCGAGAAAGTCTGAGGGGTAACGCCTCATTCCGGGGGTAGGGGTTGCTTTATTTACACTTTTTTTTTTTTTTTTCTGGGTCAGTTTGTTCACCACTGCCCACCTCCCCACCTCTCCGACCCCCCTTTCTGAAAATACACCCAAAAGTCGTGCCTTTATTTTTGCGCGTCCACGCAGCTCGCCATGGCATTGCGCACGAGTGAGCGTGTTTCCTATAAGTGCATTTATTTCCGTGGCACGGCGCTCCACAAATCATCCCGGCTGCCACATTTGTGTCTCATAATGCGCCCACCCGAGGCGTTAATCTTGAGAGTTTTCTTTCAAGATTTCGTTGGAGACGCAAAGCTGCACGACGCAGACACATGCAGCTACATGTCCACCCCTCCCCCCCTCAGCACATGCACACAGAAAGAGATGAATTTTTAATGGTTTCCAGTGAAAATTTTGCATTGATTACATTTTAGGACAATTTCATCTAAGCTGCCCAGTGTATTGTGTTTTTATATGTGGCTTTATTATTGGAATTTTTATAGGAATTCTGGTGGAAAAACAATATTTTGTGTCTATATAAGAAGGCAGTTGGCTTATTTAACGGGCATTTGTCACCATTTTTACAGTTTATAGCTCCCTGCCCCACATCCAATTTCATTTAGTTTATTTCACCTATAGGGATAATGTTGACCCAAGCCAACATCCATACACTTCAGCATTATTGGTTGTAGCATAGCGGAGAGCAGAGAATGATTTGCCACTGCAGTGTGAGGCTTTAGGAAAGGTGGGGATCTGATGGCTGTTTATTGCTCGGGCTCTAAACAAAGAGCCCTGGTAGCCTGTGTGTGATCAATCTTTCTCGCCAAAAGGTCTGACAGCTCCCTGCCCATAAGAACACATTTAAACCATCTAACACTCCCTTTAGATCATATATGGCCGCGAAGAGGAAGACAGACTCTCTCTGTAGGGCTGCAGGGTGAGTTCTGAATCTAGAAATGTCGGGATTTTCTCTCATGGACGCACGACCTTTACGCACAAAGGTTTTGGCTCAATCACTTGGTAATAAATAGAGAAATCCACGATGCTTTGTGGCTTTTTATTTTTTTTCGATCTGCAAAAAGGACTATACTGGCACTGAAAAAAACACAGAAGAGAGGACTGGACTGGGTAAATGGTATAGAAACGAACGGAGCAGCTTTTTCATAGGAGCAATTGTTTGCTGAGGTGAGTGGGTGTTGGCATTCAGCAGAAATCCCATTCACTGCCATACCTTTCTCTCTGTCAGACACCCAGGAGAAGAAGTCTTTCACTGGCCTGTTTTTCAAATAGCTCAACTTTGTGCTTAAAATACTTAATTTTCTGCATATAATTCTACATTTGACCTATTATTGTTAGTAAAATGCATCTTGAATACGCAGGTCTTGTAAACGAATAAAACTAAAATCATGCTCACAATATTATGAACAAGACAGAAAATACACTGCATTTCCATGCTTAACCGTTTATTGTATTTTAAATAAACCGAATTCCATCTGTCCATAGCTTATTGTCTGGTATTTGTGGTTATTTCTGCAAATAATTCTCTAAACTAACCACATTATTTTACTCGTTGTTATCAGTACGCAAAAAAATGCGCAAATTTGTGTCTATTTAAACAGACTTTCCTTGTATTTAAATCGACACAGGTGTGAAAAAGGAACAATGAAGGAACAAAGAACCTTCTTCAGAAAAATAGCCCCCCTAGAATATTAGGTGTAATTCGATATGAACACCGCCCGCTGCCTGGAGACTGGAACATTTTTTCACTTATTTGCAACCAAATTTTGATTTATGTTCTTCTGGCGAAGAGACTAAACCACACGAAGCTTCCCTTTCTTTTGCTGCTTGTTCTGAACGAATGCAGACGAGAAGACGGTGTCTGGATGAGCTGTGAACACGAGTGGCACGTTTCCCGTCTGTTCTGCAGCAACGAGGGACATCTGGGAGGCAAGCAGGCCAAACCTGCGACCACTGACGGGTTGTTTTTAAGAGAGAATATTTCAGTCAGAACGCCAGGACTGCTGCTGTTTAAATGTAATGAATGTATCACAAAAGTTTAACCAGATTAAACAATCAATTACTGAACAATTACAGAGTGTGCGTCTCTTTTCTTGTGCGTAAAAAATGCGTAAAATACTGCAACGGCTATGGTGATACGTGTACATTTGGAGTTGATATATTATTTAGAAATTCTGTTTGTTGAAGTGATTGAAGTGTTTATTGCATCTTGTTTGCTGCATTATATCGTGTATCACATTATATTCTCCCTGTGGGTTGGTGGGTTGAATTTTTTTTTTTTGAAAAGACACAAGGCGCACTGTGGTTCGTCTGGAAAATACATTTAGCGTCGTGTGTGTATGTATGTATGTGTGTGTGTGTGTGTGTGTGTGTGTGTGTGTGTGTGTGTGTGAGGGTCTGTGCGCGTGCGTGTTTTCCCGGAGACAAAGCAGTGTTCACGACAGGATTTTCACATTACTGTTTTATTTATTGAGCCGCCTGGATTCATGGGAAGATTTGACAGATACTTCAGGCGCATTATGGGCCCGCAAATCAAACAGTTTTGCAAGTAAACATGTGCAGAAATATCGTTAAAAAACCCTTACAGGTAGGGTCATTTTTTCTCTGCCCGTCAGAAAATCAATTTTTGGAGAGAGGAATAAATGACATGCATGAATAAAAGTCTTCATAGTGATGGATAACACTCCTGTTTGAACCAGTAAGATAACACTCAGCTCTTCCACCTCACTTTTAATACACAACTAGCTTGTCTGTCTGTCTCTTCTCTTGGATTCAAGTGTCTCAGCTGCTCTGCAAGTGAAATCAAAAGTAAAATGTGCACCAATAAGGTTTTAGGAAGGATTTGGAATCAGTATCATCCTGTCTAATTGATGTGAAGTAGCTTTAAAGTGGAAAAATGTGCAGTGGAACATGTTGGTAAGTGTAAATGGCAATGAGTGTAATGAGTCTGCTCACCACTAAGGTCAATCCTTCAGATCTGCTAAATGTCTAATAACACAACCTCACTGTCCACATCCACTTTGGGCTTCATCCAAAACAACAGACTACTGGCGTAAGTGGATGAAACCGACTCCCATGTGCTCATGACTTCACTCCCCTGCACTTCTCCTCCACAGCGGCCTCCTCTGTCACTCCTGGTGTCACGAGGTTTGATGTATAGGGGTCACAAAAGGTCACCGCAAACAGCCTCCTAGCAACTTTCTGTTTTTCTGCAGCAAGGCTCTTCACACGGCACCAAATATATCCACATTCACGAGGATCAGACCGGGAGGGTTTTCTCCACTGTGTCTAGCGCCTGACTTTACTGATTGTGTTATTCTGTCACTATTTGTGTTTTTCTGTTGTCTTCAAAATATCTTCTCAGCTTCCCTAAAAAGGAAGACTTAACGAGCTACATGTGGATGACCTTTTCGGGTGAGAGAAATGGGGGGGAAAGGGGTGAGGAAGGGACAGAAAGTTTGGGCTGTTTTGCAGTTTTAGGAGCTCAAGTTTACCAGCTCATCGCCGCAAATAAGCTTCTGAGAATGTGTCCAGACCAAAGGGAGCATTTGTGCACAAACTGTCTGTACACGTGCATCTAAGTCTTCACATGTTGCTGATTTATTCATATGAATTTATTGTTATATGTGTTTACTGATGTGAAGCCACATGTGTTTAGCCTCACGTCTCCAAATCTAAACCAGTCAAAAGCATCAAATGGAGTCATTTGATTAATATTTACTTCTTTTTTTCAGAGAAAAAAAGAACTTTAGGTCAAGCAAAGCCCTGCTTTCATTAAATAAGGATCTTTAAAGAGTCATTTATGACACAAATAAAATGCCTATAAAATAAAGCAGAATTTAAACAGACCACAAAGCAGGATTTAATATTATGTGATGGAAACCACATAACTGGTGGTGGTCTGCGGGGATTAGTTCCCCTTAATATTTGGAACACATTCATTTCCCAGATAAAAACTCAAAGGAGATGAACTTTGTGTCTGAATTTTAAGATTTTTGTCTTAACTTGGCATATGTTGTGGTTTCTTTAGTCCTCTAAATTGAATACATTTGGGTTCAAGGAATTTCTCATCTTGGGCTTTGAAAAACACTAATCAACATTTTTCAGATGTGTGTGACCTGTTAACGACCAAACAACTAATCGATTAAATAGAAAATATTCAACTAATTTATTTCATTATTATTATTATTTATTTATTTATTTTAAAGAAAAGACCTTTTTAATCAAGCCCATGTTCTTACATTGGGGTGTTGCCTGGTTTCTTTCTTCCTCAGTGACAATAAACATTGGTGGGGGGGTTTTCTCACTATTTTCTGACATTTTATTGATCCAGACTAACTCAATCATTCGAGAAAATCATCCACGATGAGAATAAGGGTTAGTTGCAGGGCTAGCCCGAATTTTGTGTTTTCCTTTACATAAACAAAGATGCTTTCAGTATAAACTGATGCAGAAAATGCGCAAATTGGTGCGTAAAAGCGGTGGAGAATGCAGGAGATGAAGGAGTTCATGCTTTCAGAAGTCTGCTTTAGGTGTCCTCTTCAATGTTCAAACTAATTTTACACCCATGGATAATGGCCAAGTGCTGTAGTGGACATCAGCCTACATTTCAAGTGCACACAAAAGAGCAGCTTTGACATCATTGTTGGATGCTCATTAGCAGGTATGAGCTGCATATTATTATCATTATTATTTATTCAACATGTAGCTAGACTAGAGTGGATCTGAGAAAACGTCTCAAATGTGCAAATCTACGCCCAGTGTGCCCTGAACGCATCATCCAGTTCGCTCCTCAGACGAGCCGCTGCCTCCACCTGCTGGTGAGCAGAGCGCAGCAGCAGCAAAGCACGAAGCTGCAACACCAACATTAGAACAGAGCTGCTTGACCTAATTGAGATTTTTTTCTTTTTTCAGTTTCATGTACTTTATTTCTTACATTTCTGAGTGTTAAGTGTCATGTTCTCGTAATAGAGTGATGCATGTTTATGTGGAGGTTATTCCAGTGTGTGAGACGTGCTTTTCATATGTGCCTCTGCGTCTGCGTCCTGAGAGTTCTGGTGCGACCAAACAACAAGAGGATGTTTCTACAACCGAGACAGTCTAATTGTTGCTAGACGGTTGTAAAGTAATTAGACGTTTTAGGACAGACCCCATCTGCACTCCTGTTATTCCTGCGCCCCCTCCTCCCTCCTCTGTTGCGTGTCTGCCTGTGTGTTATCCCACCGCTCCGGGCCTCGTCCTGCAGCTATATTACATATCTGACTATTTGCTCGAGCCTCATCAGAAATGTTGCTTTACTGCTGTCACAGAGCCTCTACATGCTTCGCTGTTTTCGCACCTTATAAACAGCTGCGGCTGTGAGTGCGGTTTATTGCAAAGGGCGTCTCGTTTGTGGCCTCGAAAATGTCCAACAAGTAACCAGTAAATATAGAGGTTGTGATTCAGACAATAATCAAGCGCAAAAATAATCTATAAATCCAAGCATGTGTTTGGCTTTGTTTTTGCTTTGCCTTGCTTTTACTGTTCTTGTGTTTAAAGTTGTGTTGGTTTAATTGATTCTGCAGCTTTTACTTCTAGAAGAAAAGAAAAAAAAACATCTAGAGATTAAGAATAATTCAAGTAATTGTGATTATTGTTCAACTTAAAATATTAACATTTAGTTCAACAAGCAGGCTCGATTCTTTTCAAATAACAAAAAAGTGTTAATAAAAATTCCTATCACATCCACAATACTATATCATTGTAATATATACATATCATTATTATGATTACAAATACAGCTTCATACCAGTAGGATTGACAGAAGTTTTTTTCTGAGGAGAAAAAAAAAAAAAAAAAACCTTTGGCAGGCTTGAGGAGGTTTGGTGGCTCAGTTGGTTGTTTGCGCCATAAAGCTGAATGGCTACAAACCAGAAACTGCAGTAAAAGTCTATTTTATCGCTTTTTTTCCTGCTATAAAAACAGGGGTTTTCTGTTAAATTAATTTTTAATAACAGAAATAAACTTGGCCGAAACGATTCTGAAACCTTTTAGAGTGGGGGAAGCAGAACAGGAAGTTTTAAGAAATAAAAAAAAAAGTAGTAGCTCTGGTCTTTAAGAAGTTATAGTATATATTTGGTTAAAATAAAAATATGTTCTAATGTTAAGCAAAAAAAAGAACAAATTATATATCTTCTGTGCTAAACAAACTACACTTTATTTTGGTTGAAATCAAAGAACGACGAGGTATTTTAAGTGTGCGCAGTGTTTTTGTTTTTTCACAAAATGCATCAAAACCCCTAAAGGTTAAAAAACATCTAAAGTTGCCACAAAAAAAAGAGAGATAACAACAATAACTTAAACAATGCAAATAGGTAGCTGAAGGACATTCAGGTAGTCAAGGATACTTTCATGCAAATAACAAATGGCCTACATGTTAACTATCTTCGTGTGCGCCAAATACAACACAGCTAAATTCTGACGAGACACTTTTTCTGTCCTCTCACATGAAACACTGGATATGAGAGGAAAGACAAAGAAAAAAACACATCCAGCATCGGTTTAACACTAACTTTACAACAACATGTGTAACAGGTTAGGAATATTAAGGACAAACTCCCCCCCAACTCCTCTCTCTCTCTCTCTCTTCCTCACCCTTCCTCCTCCTCCTCCCACCTCCAGGCTCTAAAATCCACCATCCGTCCAAAAAAAAAAAAAAAAAAAAGGAACCCAGTTAACTGTCTCTCCGCCGGTCTTTGTTTTCTTTCTTCATCTTCATCCTGCGGTTCTGAAACCAGATTTTTACCTGTCTCTCGGTCAGATTCAGCAGTCTGGCTACTTCGTATCTACGATCCCGGGGGAGGTACATGTTAAACAGAAACTCCTTTTCCAGTTCGAGGATTTGATGCTTTGTGTAGGGGCACCGCTTTTTCCTGGTGGGCTTTGCGTGAAGCCAGTTGGATGAAGGGTTATCTGGAAGCAAAGAGACAGGAGAGTTAATGCCCTCGAGATAGGAATTTTAAAATGATACAGTTAATTTACGCTTCTTTTTAAAACTCCTGACATATTATTTCAGTGCTAGTTTTCTCTCTGCACTGCAGCAAATTGAGGATTTAAGATGGCAAAAATGTCTTTGAAAATTTTGCGCAAATTCATGGTAAAGTGTGCCAATCACCTCATTTTTGCAGATCGTGTTATTGAGCTATAAGACTCCAAAGCCAAATCGATAATACATGCAATAACAAGTTTATTACACACCGAACAGGCCCGTGACATCCACAACAATCCGCTCCACATTCCCAAGCAAGCACATGCTCATTTCACTGCATCTAAATGTGCACAAAAAAACCCCTGCAGCGCTTACTTGCATCAGTCTCCCTTTTTTCGTCTCCCAACGAGTGATCCTCGGTGGCTTTAGACGTGGTTTCGCAGGGAATCTCCGCAAGGGACGCTCCGTTTTCAATGTCAGACAAAAGAGGTGTGTGCGTCTCCAAAGTCGTACATTCGGCGCTCCCAATCAGAGGCTCGGGTTTTATCTCATAATGCATGGCTGTCGATGGTAATCCCGTCAAACACAGGGACGCAGAGACCGGGTCCAACGCCCAGGAGCGCGTAAACATGCCATCGCTGTCCCCGCTCGTGTAGTGGTGATGTATATAGGTCGGAGTGGCCGTGTTCGGAGGGTGGGCCGAGATGCTGCTCCAAGATCCACCAAAAATAGAAGATTTCCCCTGCAAAGGGCAAGACTCCTGTCCGCCATATTCGGTGACCACCGCCTGCTCCACCCCTGCAGCTGATGAGTACCTCGGTGCCATATCTTCCTGCTCGGGAAGAATGCGCGAGTCGACATAATAACTCGTTCCCAACGTCGACATTGCAAGACAGGGGAGGGAAAAGCAAAGCAAATAAAATATATATATAAAAAAAATAAAAAATAAAAAAAAAATTCGCCTTACAGTCTTGCAAGAAAAAACGCATTCATTGCATGATAAGGTGCTGCTTTCGTGCACCAGCTTGAAGCTCAATGCGTCCAGTAAGTTGAACCTTGCCCAAGACTGGATAGGGCGCCCCAAACACGTGACCGTGGGACAGAACAATAAATAATAAATCAGCCGACTGCTCAGCTAAATGGCCACCATTTTCCCCACCATATTTTAATAGCAACTCCCTGCGCCTTTATTGGGGAATATTTCGTTTTATAAGCAATAAACGTTATGATTTTTGTCAAGAGATCTTATGTTGGTGTAATAGAACATAGTTGTGAATTGGG